GCAAGGAGAACGACGATGAGAACCAGGAGGTTGGAGCACTGCTCAACCAGTAGGGAATCAAATCAATCGACCGTTCACGGAAGTGCCGTGGATATTTCACACACGAAAGCCGAAGGATCGATCTGCTTGCGCAGCTTATCCCGGCGAGCTATGGTGTTCATCTGTGACAAGGGGGAAAAAAAAAAAAAAAGACGATCGCGGACATGAGATGGATGCCGGAGTGCTTCACATCTGCTGCAGACTTACTAAGGGGGGTACCCGCACAGACTGACATTTAGAAAGAATCTGCCGCTCATTCCGTCCGGAAACATTCAGAAAAAAAAAGAAGAAAGAGGCACTGAGCCAGGCCTGAACGGACCACGAGGAGGAGAGAGGAGACCAGATGTTGAGACCCGAACAACAAAATGGAAAAGAACGGAAAAAAAAGAACGACGACAACAACAAAAAGATGGGAAGGGAGGCGAGAGTTTTGTGAGCATGCCCCATGCAAGGAGAGGTTGTACAAGTGTGCCACGTGGCGACCTGCTCAAAGGAGGACGAAGGAGGAGAAGAAGTAAAAGGGGAGTCGACAAGCAGGACATCGAAGAGGCAACGAAGACGAAAGAGGCCAAGAAATCTCGACCATGGCCCAGCCACAGGTGTGGCCTAGACAGCTCGGCAGTGGCATAAGCAGGCAGGGGGAACCAAAAAAAAAAAAGAAAGAAAAAAGTCGCAGGCGCAGGAAAAAAAAAACAGAAAAAAACACGAGTGGCCGCCTGATTTTGCCACTACCGAACTTCCAACGGCTAGAAGAGCACAAAGCTGTAACAGTTCTGTTTTTGCAGTTTCTAACTGCCCTTGGCCCAGAACCGCAGTGCCCTGTTATTCCAGGACCTGCGAATTTGGAACTGTGCAGCAGTCAGTTCAAGTAGAGACAGAGAGAGAGAGAGAGGCTTGCGTGTCGCGAACGAAACTGTTTGCCGCACCACCAATTTCGTTCTCCGAATCTGCGACAAGGTCACTCAGCCAAAACTACCGGTAGTGCCATGAAATACGGCGGCCCCGTCAGACACGTCTAGAGAAAAAAAACCCTACCAAAGAAACTGTAGAATGCGTCCTTGAGAGATTTTTCGCGATTCGTTCGCCCTAAGCCCGCGCGTTGCCATTTACAAAAACGGGTTTAGGGCGAAAAATCACAAAATTTGTGGGGAACAGAAGGCACGTTGCCATTCACAAAAAGAGACAGAAAATCAGCTTACAGTATTGGCTGGAGCCAATAGGGCTCCTCCACATCTACATGCTTTTACACGAGCATGCTTTCGCCACCCCGAGGAAAATCCGGTCCCTTGAGATGAGCTCCAAAGAGCCTCGCGTGACGGTCTTTGAACAATTCGACGGAGTGCCCGGCCCGTCCTAGAGCGAGTTTCAAGGACGCGTCCTAGAGATGAGCGTACGTTCCCACTTCCTTTCTCTAGGCTTCCTCACTAGAACACAGTGGAACGACGCAAAAACAGTTCTCTGAGGAGTGCCAGGAGCGCAGCCTGGCCGAAACGCGTCGGGGAAATTGCGCGTTTTTTCTGAGAACTGTACATGCGGAGAAGAAATGTAAATCTGTTGGTGCGTGTACGAGAAGCAGTCTATGGCCACTGTTTTCACTATGTTATTAACTGTAAAAAGACTTTTTTCCCCGCAAACTACAAGAATGACTGTTTCTAGACAATTCGGTCCTTGAGTCGGGTTCCAAAGAACCTCGCTTGTAGTTTTCCGCAAACTACAAGCGAGGATACGGAGCTCGAAGCACCTGATATGACAAATTCCGCACAGGAATGCCTGTTCGAGCGATATACACGTATGTAAGAAACGTTTTTCATGGAATGCGTGTGAAGAGCAATCTGGCCATTGCTTACCTTTCTTCTTCTTCTGTTTTCCGAAAACTACAAAGAGGATATGGGTTCGAACCTGTGATCTAGACATTGATGGGAAGGATAGGCAACAAGGAAGAAGAAGGATTTCCTTCCTTGTTGCCTACGACAGAGAGGCCGGGCGGATCGGATTATTTTTTGAAAGGATAAGAAAAAGAGAGGAGGAAAACGGGAAACGAAACAGTAGTGACAAGGCATGGCCAACATGCTCTTGGGGAACGAGAGAACATCACCCCAAGGGGAACGAAAGAATAGTGTGGCCAACCAGGAACGAGAGAACCTCAACCCAAGGGGAGCAATAACGACTTGCCCTTACCGCCGCCAGAGGGCTTTTTCAAAAATTTCGAAAATCGGCCTGATTTGCCTGTGCTGCACTTGGGAACTCAAGGGCAGATTGGAAATGTCGGGCAAACGACTCGCCCCCCGAAAGGAGACGAGGACGATGTGGAACGGTGCCCGACCAACCCACCCATGAGTTTTTCTCAAGTGGTGTGGAACGAGACCCTCAGACTAGATGACCCGTTGCAGCTCGCTTCGCTTGCAAGAAAACAGGAGGGAACGCCAGCGAACGAACGTTTTTTTTTTTTTTTCTTTTAGTGTGGTAGTCAGTTCACCTGTTATACGTGGTGTTCCATGGGAGGAACGTCCCCATTTATACGTGTGTGGGAGGAACGTCATTTTTCTTGTGCTGCGTCGAATGACCCGCACGGCTGCAATCTGAGAACTCAGCACTTTTCTGAGGAAACGCCGACTTGTTGATCTGTTATCTGAGAATTCCAATCCTCATTCTGTTCGCTGTGTTCTCTAAGTACGGATGTGATAAGCCAATCCGTGCTTGCCTGTCTCTCTCTCTCTCTCTCTCTCTCTCTCTCTCTCTCTCTCTCTCTCTCTCTCTGTGTGTGTGTGTGTGTGTGTGTGTGTGTGTGTACCGCCAGGACGCAGGATCTGCAGCAGGAGGTAAATGTGGAGGACAACGACGAAAACATGAAAACCCTTGTAGTTTTTCTAGCGTCAGTGTAAGTGTGATGACGTCTTTCCAGCACTCTCCCGAGGCTGAGGGATATTGGCATCCAAGGCAGAAGGATGAAGTGGAGAAGAAAGATCACATCAAGAAAAAAGACATTGATAGGTAGGAACGAAGACATGAGAACCCTTGTACTCTTCCTAGCCCCTGTGCATGTGTGATGATGGCCTTTCCCGCACTCTGCAGGAGGCTGAGTGAAATTGGTATCCGAGGCAGAAGGATGAAGAGGAGGAGAAGGATGATGCGGAGGAGCTTAAATGGACAAGGATGACATAGAGACAAAGAACATGGAGATGAGGCGAGAGATGAGGAGGAGGGACCATGGCAAACAAAACAGAAAGCAAAATGGGCATGGCAAACAAAACAGAAAGCAAAATGGGCATCAATAAAGAGAAATATAATCGAAATCACCATAGTCTCCTCCTCCCCCCTCTCCCCTCCACTTTCGTCACTTCAGCATCCTCATCTTCCTATCCCCCTCTCGTCATCGTCATCATCATCATCATCATCTAATCTCTTCTCCTCCTCCTCTTCGTCCACCCTTTTATCTTCGAATCATCAACGTTTCTCCATTCCTTTCGATTCCCGTGCTCTCCTGGAGGTAGGAGGATATTGACCTCCACGGCTTCCACATAGAACTGGACATATGAAGAGGCTGACGTGGAGGAGGACTACGCGGAGAGAAGAATGACACGAACGAGGATAACAGAAGAAACACGTGCAGGAGGAAGACAACGAAGGGAAAAATAGAATGAAGGAACATGGTCAAACGACATAGACACGAAAGTAATAAAGAGAAAGTAAAATGAAACCATCATAGTCCCCTACGCCTTTTCCCATCCCGCTTCTTCCTGCCGTCACGGGTCATATTCCTATCCCTCCTCAGCTCACCCGCTGATAGAAAACCAAAGCAGTTCTCCCTGTGGTATTCTCCTTTCTCATCCCAACCCTCTCTCTCTCTCTCTCTCTCTCTCTCTCTCTCTCTCTCTCTCTCTCTCTCTCTCTCTCTCTCTCTCGATTCTTGAGAGAGATCCAACGAAATGACAGGCAAGCCCAGCGGGGCGGGAGTCCAAAATAACGGGAGCTGACGAAGTCGGAGCTTAGGTCGCCATGGGGAAACAGAGATGGGTAAGCAGGTGCAGACGGATATGGGATGTCGACAGATGGAGATCGAAGGCAAACGAAGGAGGAGGAGAAGGAGACAGCATCAGATCGGGGCTTACCTCTTTCGCGCGGAGCTGTTCACGGCTCCTTCGACGAAGAGAAGAAGGTTCGGCTCTTGGCGGCTTCCAACAGCAATCTAGAGCAGCACACTGCTCATGTTTCCCCGCGGCNTCTCTCTCTCTCTCTCTCTCTCTCTCTCTCTCTCTCTCTCTCTCTCTCTCTCTCTCTCTCTCTCGATTCTTGAGAGAGATCGAACGAAATGGCAGGCAAGCCCAGCGGGGCGGGAGTCCAAAATGACGGGAGCTGACGAAATCGGAGCTCAGGTCGCCATGCGGAAACAGAGATGGGTAAGCAGGTGCAGATGGATATCGCGACAGGATGTCGACAGATGGAGATCGAAGGCAAAGGAAGGAGGAGAAGGAGACAGCATCAGATCGGGGCTTACCTCTTTCGCGCGGAGCTGTTCACGGCTCCCTTGACGAAGAGAAGAAGGTTCGGCTCTTGGCGGCTTCCAACAGCAATCTAGAGCAGCACACTGCTCATGTTTCCCCGCGGCCCTCTCTCTCTCTAAGCCGCAATCTAGAGCAGCACACTGCTCATGTTTCCCCGCGGCCCTCTCTCTCTCTCTCTCTCTCTCTCTCTCACTCTCTCTCTCTCTCTCTCTGTGTGTGTGTGTGTGTGTGTGTGTGTGTATGTGTGTGGCAAGCACAGCTCCCCCCCCCTCCAAAAAAAAAACACCACGAGCACGACCACACCCACGCGAGCACACGACCACACCCACGCGAGCACGAGCACGACCACACCCACGCGAGCACACGACCACACCCACGCGAGCACACGCATGCACGCACACGATCGCACCCAAGCGAGCACACGCAAACCCACACGCACACGCGCAATCACGCATGCACGCATATAGCCACACCCGCGCGAGCACACGGACACACACACGCAGTAAGGAGGCCGGCGGAAGGCCTGCTGGTAGGGCGGGGGTAAGTCCTGCCGGTATTGACCATCCGGTACCGGTAGTCCTAGTCTAGGTCAAACTGGGCCGTTGGGTCAATAGCACCGGGTGGACGGCCTGGATTGCCTGGCGGTTAAGATCTCGCAACGATCCGGGCCGTTGCCCCGCGAATACCAACGGCCCAGATACCTTGATTGCCGCGCGGATTTTAAATCTTAAGATCTCACGACGATCCGGGCTGTCGACCCGGTAGGACGCAACGGCCAAGATTCGATATCCGTTACATACTTGCAATGATCCGCCATGGCCCGCTCGGATGCCAGGCCACCATTTAGCGTGAGCCGAAGTTGTGGCATTGCCAGAATGTTCCGCTTTGGGCCTGGGCTGGCAGAGGTGGGGCAGCCAAACAAAAAAGAAACGGCCCCGTTGGGCCCAAAAGTAAGGGTGACGGCCTTGAGATATCATCGTGAAGGTGACCGAGCAAGATGTGGGTTGTGTCATGCCCTTGTCAGGCGTGTGTGCAAGTTTGCAATCTGGACCTCCCGGCTTGGGCCTTGACCCTTTGCAATCGCGCCTAGGAAAAGTCTTCAAGTACTGGTGCATTTTGCAAAGTTGGATGGTACCCGTAGGGGTATATTGCAAAGATTGATGGGGTTCCAACCTCTGCTGGGGGTATTTCACAAAATACTTTTTTGCCCAAGGGGTATTTCGCTGTAGACACATCTTTCAGGGGCATTTTGGCATATAGCTCAACTTACGGGGGTGTTTTGCACCTTATCCCCCCCAAAAGAGGTTTCAACAGTTCAGAGGTGTACCAACTGAGCTAGGCCCGCTGGTCTGAAAATATTTGTTTTGACCCCCACAGAGAAGCGTCGTCCCCCTAGTACCTCCGA